GGTTTAGATCCAATAGGATCGTCCAGGAGCAAAGATATCGGCAGCGATCTCAGACCTCCATGCAGTATCGTCGCGACGCCAGCGACGCCCTCTCCAAGCCCGCATTTCTCATTTTAAACTTCTTGATTATTTTGTATTTTGTATTATCATCAATTGGGTTAATTAATTCCTCAGAGATTTTTTTTTTAAAGAATGATAATGTTTACTTCCCTGACTGTTGAAAACGTTATATTAATCAGGAATAAATATAAATTCATCTCCTTGACAAGAAGCCATTGCTAGATGTAACCATACTGGACAACTTTTGTCCAGTATTCATTTCTCTCTTTTTAGGGAAAGTTATTGGGTAGGAGATTGCACAATAATTTCAGAGGATCCTGGATGAAACTGATTTATTCTAGACTCATTTCACTTGATTTCAGACCTGAGTATGGGACTCACATAGCATTGGTTGTACTTTTGGATGACCTCTAGCATGAACAGGGTGTGAGAAGCACTTCCATCCTTGCTCTCCTTGACTTCTCAGTGGCTTTTGATATCATGGCATCCTTTTCAAACCATGGCATCCTTTTGAGCCAGTTCTGGGAACTGGGAATGAGTAGCATTCACTGTACTGGGTATACTGTGTATACAGTGTTGTTTTTCCTTCTTCCTCTGGGATTGGTTCCTGTCAATGTTGATTGGGAGTGAGAAGTCCTGTCTTCATCCCCTGCCTGTTGGGGAATTTTCAGGATTCAATACTCTTTCCACTCCTGTTCAACATACATCATAAGTGTCAAAGTCGCTGCATCATGTTGACATCATGTGACATTTCGTGATGTTTCGCCCTTCACAGAGCTTGGGTGGGCTTGGCTGGCAGATGACACATCTGGCCCATGGGCTGCCTGTTTGACACCCCGATCTACACGAACTCACTTGGTGAGGTATTATCACTATGCTGGAAATAGCCACCTTTCTGTCTCATCTCTTGGTAAATTATGTGATATTGTTGAGATTCTGCCTCAGTGTCTAGAGGCTGTAGGAATTCAACAGGCTTCAGCTAAGTTCTAGCAAGACTGAGTGGTTGGGGATATACAGGTTCCAGGGGTTCATCTTTAGTTCTGGATGGGATTGCCCCAAATAGATGTGGTGCATAAACTGGGGTTCTCTTGGACTTACAACTCCTACTCAAAGATCAGATAACAGGGGGCTTCTGTGCAATTTCACGTTGTGCAATTGAGTCTGTTCCTGCATTGGAAGGTTCTGCTTGCAGTTATTTGTGCCCTGGTCACTCCTTGAATGGATTATTGTAATGCACTCTTCTTTGGGCTACTCTCGAGAACTACAGTTGGTACAAAATATCACATAGTGAGCATTTATGCATGGTCCTTAATCAGTGCACGGTACATTTCTATTCCATATCTTGGTTGCTAAAATGTTTATTGATTCAATTAATGGTGCTAGTAATCATCTATAAAACCCTATACAGCATGGGGAAGGGTTGAGGGGCTGCCCCTCCCCAGTTGCACCCACCTATCCAATCAGATCTGGCAGAAGAAGGATATTATGAGCCCCATCTATGTATCATCTAGTAGGACCCAAGAAGACAGCCTTTTCTGCTGTGGTGTCCACCCTTTGAAACATCATTTCCACATATCTTAAATTGGCTGCAACCCTGGCCTTTAAGACGTGGTTTTGGCAACAGAGGTTTGGCAATGGTTGGGAACTTTTACAATGGATGTGTTGAGATGGATTTAGCTGCTGATCATGTCTTTGTTTTTAGTGTGATCATGGGTTTTATGTGTTATATTTATGTTTTAATTGGTGGTTTTTAACTGTCCAGAGTTAATTAGGTGAGATGGTAGCCATACTATTTGAATAAATATGGTATGCATCAATTTAAAATTAAATTCTATAAATGCCAGCAAATACAAAATTAAGACACAAAGACTTTGTACCATGATCCAATATAAACTTCAGCAAGTCCTATGTACATTTATTTGATATATGTTCAATTAAATCAAGTAGCATTTACTTATTAAACATGCATAGAATAGGTTTACATGTCCTTTGGAATAACTGTTTTTCATTTGCCTAACTACACAAGAATTTATGCTACTCTGTATCATAAAGGAAGATTAGCAGTTTTGTAGTAGCTACTGAGATCATATGGATGACGCTAGATGCTAGCAGCAAACTGCAGTGTCTAAAAACCTGTATAGGGCCTCTTGGCTACTTGCATGATCTCATCCTCTATCTGTTGGGTTGGAAAGTCCCGGACTTTCCAGACATATAGGTGATCTCATTTACTAACATCACCACTAGTTTTAAGGATTGGTTGGGAGTTTGTACCAATGTAGATGGGAGGTTTCACCCATGTGGGATCTATTCTCCAATCCAAATACTGTATCTATGCTACTCTTCCTTGCTTGTAAAAATAGTATAAAAGAATAAATGCTGCCAAGGCAGTCAGACATCTTGGCACCCTGCACAATGACTGATCTTTGAAATCCATCACAGTTTCTTTTCTCAGAAACTAAAATACTCGATCACATGCTTGGCAACATGAGATAATACATGTAATACAAAAGCAGATCATAAAGTATTTATTACCAAGGCTACATCTTCAATCCAATCTGATTCTGAGTTCACCAGCTGGAGTGGAATTCTAATTTCAAGAACAGAAAGGCCACAAATGATCAAGAGACAATTTCCTTCTATTTTAAATCAAGTAGGCATTTTTGGATCATCTTGAAATTAATTCACAGAAAAAGAGAAGAATCAACAAGTACTGAGTTACATCCTTTGAACGTGTTGATTAGACCAGTAATCCCCAACCCTCGGTCCATGGACTGGCATTGGTCCGCAACCTGCCAGGAACCAGCCTGTACAAGCAAGCGAAGCCCCTTCCCTGCACAAGCAGAACCATGAAACCACTCCCCCACCTGGTCTGTGAAACACCCAAAAGGTTGGGGGCCACTGGATTAGACTGAAGAGGCTGGGATCTGGGACTAGAATACTATGAGATTGGGACTACTATTTTCTTCCTTTGACTTTGGAAGTCAAACCATCTCCTTTTCTTTCATTTGAGGTTCTGCTTTATAAAAGAAGATAACCTATTATATCACAGAAAAGGGCTATCTTGACAAAAACCACTTTTCTAATACTTGTACTTAAGAGCTGTTACAATTTTCTTCCCCTTGATTTTAATAGGATTAAATTATAAATTGTACGCTATTCATATAGGATGCTGTAATTTATTCTGCAGCAATAAAAGTTAATGCATTATGATTCAAATATATTTTTCATGTTAGTGTCATCTCAACATGCAAAAAATAGGTAGCAAATTAGGTTTTTTTTTTAAGTGACCTGCTTGGTACTTGAATGATAGACCACCAGAAAATACCAGAGACATATGTTAGAGAGGGAAAAGCTCTGGAGAAGGAAATAGCAAGAAGACTGTGTGGATATATTTAGATTGTGATAAGCAGTTGAGATTTAGCTTAAGGCCTTTACTTTGCTTCTCATTAAGTATACATAGGACTGCTTTAACTCTTCACACATTTTTAATAGAGGCTTCATGTTTCAAAATCATTGGGAGCTAGCCAGCATACAAATTTAATAAATAAAATACTGTCTAATCATCTCAGCTGCCTAGCAAAATGTTGGCAGATGCTATTGACTAAATAAAATGTGCACAAGGGATTTTAGTTCTGTAAATTTAATAGAGTAGCAGGAAACAGTGAGTTCCAGTCCAGCCTCCAGCACAAAGCCAGCTGTGAATTTTTGTACCAATTACTCAATTATGAAAGTCTTGCCAAGAAAACTTGAGGGACTTGTCCAGCCGGTTGCTGGAATCAAAACTAACTTGAAGGTACAAAGCAAATAAGAAACTATGCTCCTATTGAGTGATTATGTGCCATCAAGACATTGTCAGCTCTTAGTAACCATAAATTTTTCTCCATGATCTGTCCCTAACTTGATCTTTCCAATCTTCCATCAATTACCACTGTAACTGAATCCATCCAGCTTACTGCTGGTCATCCTCTTCTCCTTGTTTCCACTTTTTCTAGCACAGAGCCCTTGTTCAGACAGCTGGGTATATAATGTGTCCAAACTAGGATAATTTGATCCTGGTCATTTGTGCGAACTCAAGTGAGAACTCTGGCTGGAATGCTAATGTTTATCTTAATAATCTATATAGAGGAACCGTTTATGTTTCCTTAGAAGTCCCATCATATTTAGTAGAAGCCTCTTCCCAAGTAAGGAGGCATAAAAAAGCTTTCCGTTGACAGTATTCCACTTTTTAATGTGTAATTACAAAAAAAAATCGTCTTAAAAGAGTAAAATATTATACCTTAAGAACCAGAACAGAACATCCCTCTTGGTAAACAGAAAACTTGCTGGTACCTTCCAGGCAAGAGATTAAATCTTTACAGGTCATGATATAATAAATATATCATAAAATAGCCGACCATTCCAGTTAGCCGCATAATCCACGCTACTTTACTACACCCAGGAAAGCAGGATTCGTAGGTTCACGTGCAGATCTTTTGAGGCTGGTAACACTATTCCTTGTGCCTTCGGGCATCAGCAGAATGCTTTTTTCCCCCCCGCACTGAGCAACCTGTGTGCACAGCCTACTCGAGGCTTCAGCAGCGACATAGGATGGACCTCACACTTGTGTTAAAAACGCCCTTCGTTGCCCCCGGCCCCCCTCTCCACGCCCCCAACAAAAGCAACACATCTCGGAGCGCGCCGGCGCGCGCGCAGAATGGCGACAACGGCTCGCTCCTTTTACAGACAATTCGCTTCCCGGCTTCCAGCTCACACGGCGAGCAGCGGGGCCGACGTCGACGCGCTTCGTTGTTTGTCAGCGAACCAGATTGACGGAAATCTTTGACAGACGATGCTGATTGGGAGAAACGCCGGGAAGGGCGGAGCCGCGGTCGCCATGGGAGACCGGTGAGGGAGAAGCCGGAAGCAGGCGCTTTAAGTTAGAGGGTGGGGCGTATTCAGTTATATTTCCTTCGCGGGAGGCGCCGGGGTTGTTTGGGCTGGAGGGAGGCGCCGTGAGAGCAGCGGTTTGCGGTGGGTGGGTGGGTGTTCGTGTTCTGAGGTGAAGGAACAGATTATGGGCTGCTTCTTCTCCAAGAGGCGGAAGCAGGCCAAAGAGGCGAAGGCTGGCGCGGAGAGCGGAGATCGGAATGGCTCTCTGTCCGCGGAAGCCGACAAACAACCACAGTACAGTTGGGACCAGCGAGCCAAGGTAACCGTGGTTTCCTCCTCTGAAAGCGGCTGCCCTTGGGGGTGGGGGGTTTGCTGCCGAGCGCACAGGGCTACTTCCTCTTCTTTGCTGGTTGCGTTTGCACAACATATTGGGATCCATGGGGCTTGGCTGGTGGTGTGTCGCGCGAGCCCTCCTCGCCAGTTTGGCTAGATCAGGGGTCGCCAACCTTTTGGACCTCAGGGACCAACAAACTCATAATTTTAAATCCCGCGGACCAGAGAAACCCTGGGAAAAATCCCCCCAAAAAAGTCTGCAGGAAAATTCCCCACCCCATTTTCTTACCGATGGATCATTCTTTATTTGGGGTCGCAGGATGCCGTCTCCAGCAGAGAAAGAGAGACTTTTGGCTTCATGCAAGGAAAGCAGCAGAAGCAGCAGAAGTCTTTCTTTCTCTCCCCCGAACTCTGCCAGAAATGAGACTTTGTGAGACTTGTCACACCAGGGCAGCCTCTTGGAGCAGGATGTCTTGCAGGGTCCCAAAGACTCATTTCTGGTGGAGTTTGGGGCAGAGAAAGAAAGACTTTTGCTGCTTTCCTTGCCTGTAATCAGAAAGAAGCAGCCCGGTAGCCAGGCCCCCTCCCCTCACTATCATGTTGTGTGCAATGGAAAGACACAAGCCTTGTGTTCCCATGGGCCATGTGGGTGGCGCAGCCTTGTGTTCCCATACAGCCTGGATTAATTGCTTTGAGGGTGACATTTCTCTGCGGACCACCAGTGGTCACCGGCCCACTGGTTGGCGACCACTGGGCTAGATCATGAATCATCACTGTGTCTGTGTGAACCCAATTGGTTGAGTTAATCCCCTTTCCTGAGATACAGTATACACCAGCCGTTCCTTTGAAACAATAGAAAATATTGGTAGCTCGGGTTTTAGATTTTGGCAGTGGTTTGATCTCCAAGTTTGCTTCAGTTTGGTTTCTGAACGTTTCGTTACCAGACTAGGTAACATCAGCAGGATTGTCTTGCTCTATTTCTCTTGTTCTTCCAGGAACTGTTTCTTCTCTCCTTCCAAGGAGATTTTCCCAACGTCGGTTTTCCTCAAACGGTTACCATTCTAGCTTGGTTGGGAGCAGAACTCTCAAAAATATTGTGCTGAATGAAAATTCTGGGTGTTGTGCCAGATTTGGGGAAGCTTGCTTCAGCCCATCTGACACCTCACCATCACCTTTCGCAATGTTTTTACTTGCCTGCTTGGTCTTGTCAGATGATTCCTGTAAACGATGGACAGGCTGCTTGTGTGGCAAATAAACGTTATCTGCAGCTTCTTCAGGATTTGAAAAGTTATTCTTGTCATCTCAAAAGATGTGTGATTAGATATTCTTTACCAGCCTTTAACCATCCTAGTGAATTTGAAGCATTGTGGTGAGTCTTCTCTGTGTGGTAGGAAGCTTCCCAGCCTTTAGAAGCAGTGATTTGGGCTTGGGCAGATAAATGGTATTTAAATTAGATTGCTACAGTGTATTTGTGCATGGGTGTCATAGATCAAAACAGCTGCAAAGTTAGAGAGACTGTAAGATATTGAAATTAAAAAAAATCAGGGAGCCTTTGGAGGAAACAGGTGTTGATGAAACTATCACAAACTAGTTTAGTATTGCCACAACCTTTCTTGTTGACTTTTGTTTTATCAATTATAATTTAGTCTGTGTTGGACTTGGTAAATACTTAAACCTGATAGTGATAGTTCAGAGCACATCAATGTATTCTTGTGTACATAATCTAAGATATAATGATCTTCCGTTGTTTTCTATCTAGATATCTCTTGTGTATAAAAATGAGACTGCAGGTAGTGACACAAGCTTTTAATATTCCCAGAGGGTTCTCTTTCTTTTTTTAATAAGTGAAGGTGTATGGAAGCCTCCCTTTCAAGATACATAACACTAACACAGGAGTTATTTCTCCTTTATTTAAGAACATTTAGAGAGACGCCGTCAATTGTCCTTTACATTTGGTGCCTAAGGAAACGTTGAAATATTTTTTGACTCATTTCCTTGAGTTATGAAAATAACTTCTCTATAATTTGTAATGACTAAAGGCTGGAAGTTTTAGATACTTCCATCTGCATTTTGGGCTGGGGTTATGGCTTTATTTGTCGTATTTATGAGTTGCTTGCTCCATTGAGTTGAATTGAACATATCACCTTGGGATTTCCCAGTGATTTCCTTTCCAGTGACAATCAGGCCACATATGGCATAATTTTCAAGGCTAAGTGCTGACTTTCACCTATTTTTAAAAATTGTGGAAGCACAGAATGTTTAAAAGTGAAATATGAGATTTCCCCCACCCTCCCCCAATTTTCTAATAAACATTCTTTTAAACTGGCTGCCAACTATTTTCCTACATGTTTGGTCCTGATTATGGATGTAATATCAATATTTAGATTTATAAATGAATTTTGAATTAAAAACAAATTGCAGAAATTAATTGTATATTTTAACTAGTTTATAACTTACAAAATGGTGTTTGAAATATAAAAATTGAATCAGCTGGTGTTTTAGAATGGGTTATGCCAAGTAATAAATTTAACTTGTCCTAATATTAAGAAGAATTGAAATTAAGTTAGTTGAGGCTTTATAATAAAACATTTGAATGGGGAGGGTTTAACAAATATTACACAATGTATAATTTAATTTTGTTTTTTTCTTGAAATGATGGGGAATTTTTTGACATTTAAGGAAGCTAAGCTGAATTGAAATGCTGTTTTAAAAGATGCTAACGTGGAATTATATTCTGTCATTATTTGCACAATCCGGCCAATTTTAGCAGAATAACTTTGCTTGTGTTTTCAGATTAGGTCAATTAGTTGTGACACAGCTTTTCAATTCCATTTGGCTTAATTTTAATCAGCACCTGCTGTTTTCCTGTTTTATATTTTGGATGTGCAATGAAGTGTAAGAAAGTATAAATTTTATTTTTTTATCTAGCTAAATTTCCATTTTTCAGTATTCTCTAGGAATGGAATATGTGATATAATTCCTTAAAATATGATCCTTGAATTATATGCATTGTCTAGAACCTATAGATTTATGTAACTATGACTCACTACTTAATTAAATCAAATAACTTTACATTTTAAGACAAATTGTTATGCTTTTCTGATAAAATCCATATTTTCAAATGTAAATGTTTAATGCAGTACTTCAATATTATATTCAGAAGTACAATTCTATTACCATCTTGCAAGAAATCCTTGATACCAGTAAACTTAAACCACTAAAAATGACAAGTGCAAAAGATCAAATTCACACATGAAGGTTCAGTTAAACTGATTGATTGCTAAAAGCCTATGCACAGGAATCTTCTCAAATAACAGTATCTGATTAGACATAAATAAGGGTCGATGGCACTCAAGCATGATTGGACTTAATTTGCTTGTGGCTACCTAGCAAGCTGATCTCCCTTTTCACTGTGCCTCCAGGTTCTGCCATGCCTTCTACAAAATACTTGATTTTTTTTTATGTTGTACTGTCATTTTGTAATTGAATAGTATTTCACCAATCAATAGCATAGTTGAACTATCCTACAGAATGCTGTTCCATATTGATTAACAATTTGTAAGCTCTTAATAGAAGTTCTGTAAAAAAAAACCTTTCCTTCAGTCTCTTCAACAATGGAATAGAAATAGTTACTATCTTAAAAGAACAAATAAAATAACATTGATATTAGATATTTTGTGGTAAATATTGATTCTACATTTTTTCCAGTCTTGAAATGATGGGGAACATTTAATGACTTTTAAGAATATACCTTGACTATAAAAATTGCTTTTGTTCTAGATTGATCCGAAAGATTACATGTTTTCTGGACTCAAGAATGAAACAGTTGGACGTTTACCTGGGAAAGTTGCAGGGCAACAGTTTGTCATTCAGGACTGTGAGAATTGCAATATTTATATATTTGATCATTCTGCTACAATCACTGTTGACGACTGTATAAACTGCCAATTTTTTCTAGGACCTGTAAAAGGCAGTGTGTTTTTGCGTGACTGCAAAGACTGTAAGTGTGTTGTGGCATGCCAACAGTTTCGTACTCGAGACTGCCGAAAGATAGAAGTATTTCTGTGCTGTACCACCCAGCCCATTATTGAATCTTCTACAGGTATGAAATTTGGATGTTTCCAATACTATTATCCAGAACTAGCTTTGCAGTTGAAAGATGCTGGGCTAAGCATCTTTAACAACACATGGAGCAATATCCATGACTTCACACCAGTTTCAGGAGAAAATAATTGGAGTCTTCTAGCTGAGGATGCTTTAGTTCAAGACTATGTACCATTGCCGACTACTGAAGAATTAAAAGCTGTGAGGATTTCAACTGATGTCAACAAGAGCATAATTCCAATAACCCTAGGAGGACGGCAAAAAAAGAGTGAGGAATCTTGCTTAGTAGTGTTCTTTGCTGGAGACTATACAACTGCCAATGCAAGAAAGTTAATTGATGAGGTAAGAGATGAGATAAGGTAAAGCAATTTGCTTTACTTTATACTTTGTGTTTAAAACTAAAGCTATTTTGCCCTTTTAGAAATAGAAGTATTACAAATCTGTAGTTTTTAAATGGCTTTTGGAAGGCATAATCAAATCTTGACATGATGCAATTTTGCAATTTATATGACTGACAGCCTATGCTTTGCAGTCTGAAAATATAACCTGTAGGATGCAACAGGAGAATAATCCAGAGTAATATTTGAGGATACACATGAGGATTGCAGAGAGAGAAGAATTCCACTTCATAAGCTGAAGTCTGCTGGTACAGCATTAAAGAGGATCTTGCAAAAAGATGTTTATAGTATCATCATGGTAAAGATCGGTGCCTATGCAAAAAATGTCAAACCAAATTATTTGATCTCCAATTAGGATAGATTTTACACACTTGTTTTACTGCAAGTATGTTTTCCTAGGGCAGAAGTACAAAAAAGAAAAGGGGCCAGGAGCCACATGCAAATTTCTTTAGCATCCAGAGTGGGAGGGGCTATATGTTGGATTTTCAATGCCTATTAAAGAGTCTTAAGATAGATACCTTAAGCCTTTGCAAATGCTTAAATCTCTTTCCCAAAAGAGCTTTAATGCTGCTTGCTAGGTTACATTATATTTTACACTAAGCTGGAATGGACCTCAGACTAGCAGAAGTTGTGCATCCTTGTTTCAAGGTCTAGAAAGAATTGCAAATTTCCAGAATTTAGGGGATCTAATAATAAATTATTGGGGAACAACTAATAATTAGTAAGAAATTTACACTTATCAAAGTCAACATCTGACTAACAGTTCTTTAGAATCAGAGTTAGGAGTCATATAGATCATTGAGTTCATCCTCCTGCTTATCACAAAATCCAAATTAAATCATCTGGGCATTTAAATTTGAATTGTTATACATGCCATAAATAAATTGTTATATATTGTCATAAATTATTCTCCATTGGACTTACTCTTTCTCGCTGATTGATGTTTCATTTTGTTGACTTGTGTCCCATTCAAGCTATTTCTGAATCACATAATGATATGTAGCACTTTATATGGCTCGATGTAATGTGTTTCCCCCCAATTTACTATGATTTAGAGGATTTAGATGGCTTTAAATAACGGGGAAATTGCTGTGCGGGAAGAAACATTTGCATAAAAATAAATGGTTTTTGGTTTTTCTAAGGATTATTTCCATGTGTTGTTTATTAAAATTTTACATATTTCATATGTATTCCAATTCTTACTGAAATTCAATAGATGACTGGCAAAGGCTTTTGGCTGATACAGACAAAAGAAGTTTCAATGAAAGCTGATGATGCTCAACGAGTGTTCCAGCAAAGAGCATCTGAATTCATCCCTTTACTTGACAAAGGTATAATTATTTGAAAAACTCTAAAAAATTTAAACTGTTTCTTCAATCTGAATGTAATTCCTAAGGAAGGGGGCAATGGAAATTAATACTGTACATAAATCTTTTTAAAAATGCCTTGTCACCAAGTGGCACATTTCACTTGCTTCACTTCACGTAAAGATCATGCCATTATTATTTTTTTACTACAAGTAACAGGCAAAGATTATTTATAAAAGCTGTACTATCAATATTATTCTTGAAGGCAATACAGGAATATGCTGGTTTCATTGCAAAACTGAATTTTGATAAAGTTTCTGTAATTTATAGACTTGATACTGATCATCAGCTACTGTAAAATACATTTTAGCTGTATAATTTATGAAAGCTGTAGCTACATTGCAACATATGTAATTCAAAATATAAAAGAATAAGCAGGAACAAATTTTGGTTCCCAATAAGAAGCATGCATTGTTCCAATATCAAGAACCATATATACTCCTAAATACAGTAGGTGCTGTTGTATCAAAGCATAATTCTAGTAGTCTTGTCTTCTTCAAATTTAAAAGAGAAATGAATTCTCCCATGGTATAAGGTTTAGACTTTGTTTTGAAGATTTATCCAAAATAAAATTTGGTTCTGAGTTTAGGAAAACCCCTTCCCAACTCAAAAAAATAAGCAGGGAACATAAACAGACAATATCCAGTATGATGTCCACTTTCTGTCAAGCTAGGCTAGTCAACTCTAGATGAAATCATTTCTGGAGACTTCTCCCAACATATGTGTGCACAGGCATATTTACATATGTATTTCCACTTATATACTTGCTAGAGGTTGCATTCCAAGAAAACCCAGGTCAAGAAAATAATGTATAAATAACTACTTCTATTTGTTTATAGAATAAGGTTAATTAGCTATGGAATAGATTCCTTCAGGTATACAATCATTGTCAGGATAGGGAAGGGAAAAAATGATGCCATGTTTCAGCATTCCAGGGAAAATTAAATCCACTAGGCAAGCAGCTCCTTCCAAGTGGTGGCTGATCTTAAAAGACTGATCTTGATGTCTTCAGCTACTTGACCCTCTACCCATTTGCTCAATTTTGGCTATAGCTTATTCTCCATGACTGTAGAATCAACTTATAAGAGCCACAGTGGCACAATGGTTAGAATGCAGTACTGCAGCCTACTTTTGCTGACTGTCAGATGCCTGCAATTTGGCAGATCAAATCTCACCAGGCTCAAGGTTGACTCAGCCTTCCATCCTTCCGAGGTCGGTAAAATGAGAACCCAGATTGTTGGGGGCAATATGCTGATTCTGTAAACCACGTAGAGAAGGCGGTAAAGCATTGCAAAGCAGTATATAAGTCTAAGTGCTATTGCTCTTATAAGTAATATTTGGGGGAGGGGACATATGTCCTACTAATAAATATACTTTTTATAATTAGTCCCTTTTTTCTTTCATAAACATGAGGGATTTACAGTGTTTTAATTTATTATCACCCTGTGCTATATAAAGAATCTTTGAGCAATTTACAGAATATAAAATACTCAATAACTATATAATAAAACATATATAATTATATATGTAAAAGTGACAGGGCAATTGAAAACAGAAGTGGAAACAAAAAAACACCTCTCACTCTTATTCAGCAGTCAAATAGAAAAGGTCTTTGTGAAGAGAGTTTCTTCAACAAATGTAAAACGAGTGCCTCATAAACTTCTGGGAGTGATCAGTCTATAGTGTAGGTGCAACCACATTGAAAGTCCATCTGAGAGAACTCAAAATGACACTATGCATCTGGCAGACATAGCAGAATCTCCACCACAATCTCAGCGTTTGATCAGATCTGTAACACTAAAGGTGGCCCATCAGAATTCTGGTACAAACATATAGCAAAACCCTGAAATTGGTTCAGATTCTAACGTAAAGTGGTTCAGTTGCTTCAGCAGAAGTTATAAGATGATACACCTTACTCAGCAATATGATTACTGCAATCTACATCACTGCCACTTCTAGATCAAATGGAAGGAAAACATCACTTACATTGTAGTGATATAAGCATAATTTTTGCATATGTAAGTTTCCCCCAAGTAATAACTTGCAAGTCGGACAGTTATATAAATAACGTAAAATAAAGTAACATTAATGAGGTGTGGTTCCAAAGCTCCTGAAGATTATTCTCAGTGGCTTCATATAAATATTAAACAGTATTAGGGATCAAGTTAATGCTTTATGACATTCCACACAGATCTATCAGAGTCAGAAATACAGCCACTTAGAATTGTTTATGCAAGTAGGAGTCAAACACAGTATCCTCAATTTACACAATTCAGAAAGGTACCACAGTTGACAATATCAAAAGTTAATGAAAGATCCATCAGAAAAATATAGGGTTGTACCTGGTATATTTTCCCAATATTGCAGAGCAGATTTGGAAGAGATCTGCAATGCAGAAAGGATTATTTTGTTCAGTTTCTTGTACTCACCGGCATATAGAGTTGAATTTAATACCAAAATACTAACTCTTAATTATTCCTTTTCTAGGTCCTGTTGTTGCTTTAGAGTTTAATGGAGATGGTTCTATAGCAGCCTGTCAAGACATTGTTGTTAATGTCTTTAGTGGAGCTAAAGTAAGTAGTGGTGCAGATTCTCCCTGAAACTGTTTTCTGGAAATTATAGCATGTTTTTCCAGCGTACTACTTTCTCCACAGAATTTTACTTTTAAAAATGAAATGAATTCTGTCCTTTCTCTAGAAACTTGAAAGCTAGGGCACATGTATGGTTCTATTTGGTGATGGTAATAAATAAATATACATACATTGTGCTTCTGCAAAGTCACATGTTTTCCTAACTATATCAGGGGTGTCAAAACTTGCGGCCTGTGGACCAGATGCATCACATACTGCCCATGCTCACCCCTGGTTTAGCGAAGGAAAACAGTTGCTATATGTCACATGATGACGTGACGATGCAAGTTTGACAACCCTGATCTACACTGCTCAAAAAAATAAAGGGAACACAAAAATAAAACATCCTAGATCTGAATGAATGAAATATTCATATTAAATACTTTGTTCATTACATAGTTGAATGTGCTGACAACTCAATCACACCATAATTATCAATGGAAATCAAATTTAGCAACCCATGGAGGTCTGGATTTGGAGTTACACTCAAAATTAAATTGGAAAAAAACACTACAGGCTGATCCAACTTTGATGTAATGTTCTTTAAAAAAGTCAAAATGAGGCTCAGTAGTGTGTGTGGCCTCCACATGCCTGTATGACCTCCCTACAATGCCTGGGCGTGCTCCTGATGAGGTGGCGGATGGTCTCCTGAGGGATCTCCTCCCACACCTGGACTAAAGCATCCCCCAACTCCTGGACAGCCTGTGGTGCAACATGGCGTTGGTGGATGGAGTGAGACATGATGTCCCAGATGTGCTCAGTTGGATTCAGGTCTGGGGAACGGGCGGGCCAGTCCATAGCATCAATGCCTTCGTCTTGCAGGAACTGCCAGCCACATGACGTCTAGCATTGTCGTGCATTAGGAGGAACCCAGGGCCAACCGCACCAGCATATGGTCTCACAAGGGGTCAGGATCTCATCTCGGTACCTAATGGCAGTCAGGCTACCTCTGGCGAGCACATGGAGGGCTGCGCGGCCCCCTAAAGAAATGCCACCCCACACCATTACTGCCCCACTGCCAAACTGGTCATGCTGGAGGATGTTGCAGGCAGCAGAACGTTCTCCACAGTGTCTCCAGACTCTGTCACATTTGTCACATGTGCTTAGTGTGAATCTGTTTTCATCTGCGAAGAGCACAGGGTGCCAGTGGCGAATTTGCCAATCTTGGTGTTCTCTGGCAAATGCCAAATGTCCTGCACGGTGTTGGGCTGTAAGCACAACCCTCACCTGTGGACATCGGGCCCTCATACCACCCTCATGGAGTCTGTTTCTGACCGTTTGAGCTGCCACATGCACATTTGTGGCCCGCTGGAGGTCATTTTGCAGGGCTCTGGCAGTGCTCCTCCTGTCCCTCCTTGCACAAAGGTGGAGGTAGGGGTCCTGATGCTGGGTTGTTGTTGTCCTACGGCCTCCTCCACGTCTCCTGATGTACTGGCCTGTCTCCTGGTAGCGCCTCCATGCTCTGGACACTATGCTGACAGACACAGCAAACCTTGCCACAGCTCGCATTGATGTGCCATCTTGGATGAGCTGCACTACCTGAGCCACTTGTGTGGGTTGTAGGCTCTGTCTCATGCTACCACTAGAGTGAAAGCACCGCCAGCATTCAAAAGTGACCAAACCATCAGACAGAAAGCATAGGAACTGAGAAGTGGTCTGTGGTCACTACCTGCAGAACCACTCCTTTATTGGGGATGTCTTGCTAACTGCCCATGCTTTCCACCTGTTGTCTATTCCATTTCACAACAGCATGTGAAATTGATTGTCAATCAGTGTTGCTACCTGTGGACAGTTTGATTTCACAGAAGTGTGATTGACTTGGAGTTACATTGTGTTGTTTAAGTGTTCCCTTTATTTTTTTGAGCAGTGTATATTGTCAATATGCCCTAGTGCCTGAGGCAATGAAAATGTTGTTTTAAATTTTTACAGTATTAATATGTTTGGCATTTTTATTATATATTTTATGAATTTGGAATCGAGATGTAAATAAATACTTTTAATAAATGGTGATTCTCCTAGCATTAGTCAATTAACTTCTGGCTCATAATTACTGGGGCAAAAATTAATTGAATAATTATGTTAAATTAGTTCGTGAAGTGAATTATCTTATGTATTAGCTAGAACGGGGTCTCCAACCTTGGCAACTTTAAGACTTGTGGACTTCAACTCCCAGAATTCCTCAGCCAGCAAAGCTAGGTATCACTTTAAAGCACAGCTGGCTGAGGAATTCTGGGGGTTGAAATCCACAAGTCTTAAAGTTGCCAAGGTTGGAGACCCCTGAGCTAGAAGATACCAAGTCTATATCATTTAAGGAGTCAGATAATATAATTTCAAAGATCTGTTGAAATTGAACATTTCTATTATGTTTGTGTCATTCAATTTGCAGTTTTAGATTAGCATCCTAATCTGAACCAGTTGACTGGCTTATTTAAAAACACAAATTAAAAATCTGGAATAAAACACTTGAGTTCTAAATCTTAATTGTGCTTTCTTTTTTATCCTAAATTACAGGTTTTTGTATCTGAGGACAAGTTGACTGCTTCAAGAGAAATAGACAGTTTCTATAATTTTGCTGATATGCAGATGGGAATGTGAAAGAAATAAAAGCACCTTACTGAAAAATATCTACTTGATAGTTGAATTGAGCATTAGGTTTGTACAACTGTCTGAATTAAGTGAATTTTTTTTACCTTTTTTGTCTTTTCCTTATAATACTGATTTTTCATTAGTACTATAAAATTGAAGTAACTCTAATCCCTCTTAACTGTAATGTGATTTGTTTCTTTCCTGCATATTATATTTTAATATTATAACATTTTCAGCTATAATGGTATATTAGATGGAAGTATAGATGTTAGAAAGCTGGTGCATATTGAAGATTTTTTATGTATGTTTGTATCTTTGAGCATAAACTCAATTTTGTCAACGGCATGCTTTATAACATTGAACAAGCATTACTAACAGTATGTCCTGAATTTTCAAACACTTCACATGAAATCAGTATCATTCAAAATATTTTAATTCTTACTGATTTGTCTCATTACTCTAAAATTAGCAACAATGAAGAAAATTGTTATTTTAATTTTTACTCTCAGTCCAACTCATTATTTTAACTTTTGCTCTCAGTCCAACTTTCAATATTCGATTATACTTGAATGACATAACAGTTCAAGAAAAAGCATTTATGGAAATAGGCAAGGTTTTGCTATGGCTTTGATCAGTATCTCCAACATAGGAGATTTTATTGCTGTTGTTGCTGAATTTCTGTGGGAGTGCTGCTTCATATTTTTTTATATTTATATTCCAAATATATTCGATTTCTAAATGCAGATCTTATAGAAATGTGATATTTTACTTAATATTCAACATTAAAGGTTGCAAACCTGCTTTTAGTTTAGAGTATGTATGACTCACTTCTGTTTATCTCAATTTTCAACCCTTCTGGTTTGATTTTACATAATGTTAAGCCAGGATTTTTTAAACATAATTGCCTAAATCCTTACACGCAAAAGGGGTTTATTTCTGCAGCAAGCCCTGTTTTCAAATTCTGTGCTGTTAAACTATAATTTACCTATCTTAATTTGCATCCTACCAAAGTTTTTTTTCTGGCCAAGAGATGCAAGGCATTAACAGCTAGAACAGCATTTCTCCCCGGGCTGAACTTTATCTTATTTTGTCACATAATTTCTTTTTTTACCTGCTGAATTCCTCTCCAAATACAGGGGAGCAGTGGAGGTCATAAACTGCTTTTGACTGCAAAAAACTGAGAATAACATTAATCAAATGATGTTTCTTAGAAGATATGTAAGGCAGAAACAGGTCGCAGAGGAACTCTGATGTCAACATCCACTCATTAATAAATAAGAAACCAGAATGTAGACATATCACACAGCCTGTTCCACCCAAAACCCATACACGTTTCTTTCAACTCAAATAGAGGCCACTTCAAAATTTCCTCACAAATTTACTGTTTAATAAATAATGGTTAAAATGAAACATCTACACAAATCATTTCTCAATATTTCAGGTATATTACCTGTATCATTGAAGTGGTTGAATGGTAAATATAGATTATGAGAATTTAAAAAAAATATGTAATCAGTTTATCACTTGTTCAGAGTGTAGCAAAATAGCTTTTAGCCATGCTGTAGCTACCCAGGAACTTCCTTTAAATAGAGTAAATGTTACTGTTTAAGGATTATACTGCAAATTTACTGGTATCTGAAAGTTTGATATTTTACACAACTGTAAAATTATTTTTTGTATAGTGTTTTATATGTAAATACTGGTTTCTTTCCTATATTAGCACTTTATTTTGGATAAAGACTATAGAATGTTCACCTGTACACTTTAACAGAAAACAACAGTAAGAGGAAAAAAAGAGAGAAGAAAATTTCTGCATTATTCATTGGCAGTCAGTTTAATCAATGGAAGCATCACAAATGTTTACTTGTTTTTATATTATCAAAATGGAAGGACTCATGAATTAATTTCTGAATTGTTATGTATTTGATATTGTTTATAAATTGAATTTATTGGTACCTTATTGTAGAATTTAAGAAAAATTTATATGGTATGTTACAGCTTTTATATACAACTTGTCTAGCATTTGTGAAATCTGTTTTATAATGAATACTTAAATGAAAGCTTCCTTTATGGTACATTGCATTTTTCTTTTAAAAAAATACTCTGGTAAGTATTGCACACACAGTTAATTCCTAAATCTTTAAGCTTATACAGGCTCAATTTATGATCACAACAAACTCCAGAATTCCAGTTGTAAGTCATTGCTATTGTAAATCAAGGATCCATATGACTGGGCTCAGTTTTATTATCGCTTTTACAATGGTGGTAAAGTGAGTCGTCATGGCTATTAAGTGCACCACATGGGTCATTAAGTGAATCCAGCATATCCAAGAGGCATTTGTTTGCCCATTTTTCTGCCAGAAAAATAGCAACAAAAGTAGCAAATTGTAAATCAAGTGACCGTGAAATAATGCATCTGGTCATAAATGTGAGTTGGTTGCCAACCTCCCAAAATGCAACATATGACCAGACAGGTTGCAGCAATCATAACTTCAAAGATGGGTCCTAAGTAGCTTTTTTGAAGTCTTAACCTATTTTTTAAACAAGGACCACCTGTAATCTTATTGTGTTTATTTTAGATAGATTTTGTTGGATCTGATGCTGATAATCACACTTTACAAAAAGTCTAATGAAAAGATGAAGAGGTGGAAGAGGCTTAAAGCTCCTTAGAAACTGGGAAAACAACTACACATAATCCTTGACTCACGACCACAATTGAGCCCAAAACTTCCGTTGATAAGTGAGGCAGTAAAGTTCCTCAATTTACAACTTTTCTTGCCACAATTGCAGTTGTTAAAGTTAGTAACATGGTTGTTAAAGGAATCTGACTTTCCCATTGAATTTGCTTGTCAGGTGAACCTGATCACATGACCTGGGACACTGACCATCATAAATACATGCCAGTTGGCAAGCGTCCAAGTTTTGATCACATGACCATGGAGATGCTGCAAAGGTCTAAATATGAAACATGGTCATGTCACTTTTTTCAGTGCTGATGTAACTTTGAACAGTCAGTAAATGAATGGATGTAAATCAAGGGGTATCTGTATTTCAGTAATCTTGTAAAGTCCTCAGACCATAGGAGCCAGCAAAAAATTCTAGTCTTTCTACTCTCTAGCTAAAAATGAAAAAGCAATAAATTTACTAGGTAGTTACAAGGTTTTTAAGCTCAGAACATCAGTTGATTTTGAATCTCTCTGCTCAACCAGGTAAAAGCAACAGAATACCACAACTCTTAATTTTCCTAGCAGTTAGTAAAATATGAACATAGTACTCAGAATAATCTTGATTAGCATAGTACAAATCCTCTGTTTCAGCATAGTACCAAACCAATGAGTTTTATGCAGGGAAGAGAATAAACTTATTTTGGATCTGGATGCATTGAGCAGTTCAAACAAGACAATCTGAGCTTGTTATGTTTTGGACAGGTGAAACTCGAAAAATTAGAATATCGTGCAAAAGTTCATTTATTTCAGTAATGCAACTTAAAAGGTGAACCTAATTTTTGAGATAGACTCATTACATGCAAAGCAAGATAGTTCAAGCCATGATTTGTCATAATTGCGATGATTATGGCTTACAGCTCATGAAAACCCCAAATCCACAATCTCAGAAAATTAGAATATTACATGCAATCAATAAAACAAGGATTGTACATAGAACAATATCGGACCTCTGAAAAGTTTAAGCATGCATATGTATTCAGTACTTGGTTTGGGCCCCTTTTGCAGCAATTACTGCCTCAATGTGGCGTGGCATGGAAGCTATCAGCCTGTGGCACTGCTGAGGTGTTATGGAAGACCAGGATACTTCAATAGCGGCCTTCAGCTCTTCTGCATTGTTCGGTCCCATGTCTCTCATCTTTCTCTTGGCAATGCCCCATAGATTCTCTGTGGGGCTCAGGTCAGGCGAGTTTGCTGGCCAATCAAGCACAGTAATCCCACCACGGTCATTGAACCAGGTTTTGGTGCTTTTGGCAGTGTGGGCAGGTGCCAAGTCCTGCTGGAAAATGAAGTCAGCATCCCCATAAAGCTCATCTGCAGAAGAAAGCATGAAGTGCTCCAAAATCTCCTGGTAGACTGCTGCATTGACCCTGGACTTAATGAAGCACAGTGGACCAATACCAGCAGATGACATGGCTCCCCAAATCAACAGACTGTGGAAACTTCACACTGGACTTCAAGCATCTTGCAGTGTGTGCCTCTCCTTCTTCCTCCAGACTCTGGGTCCTTGGTTTCCAAATAAGATGCAAAAGTTGCTCTCATCAGAAAAGAGGACTTTGGACCACTGAGCAACAGACCAGGTCTGTTTTTTTTTTTAGCCCAGGTAAGATGCTTCTGACGTTTGTTGTTCAGGAGCGGCTTGACAAGAGGAATACGACATCTGAAGCCCTGTCCAGGATCTGTCTGTGTGTGGTGGCTCTTGATGCCTCAGTCCACTTCTTGTGAACGTCCCCAACATTTTTGAATGGCCTTTTCCTGACAATCCTTTCCAGGCTGCGGTCATTCCTGTTGCTTGTGCACCTTTTTCTTCCACACTTTTCCCTTCCACATAACTTTCTATTAATGTGCTTTGATATAGCACTTTGGGACCATCCAACTTCTTTTGCAATTACCTTTTGAGGCTTTCCCTCCTTATGGAGGGTGTCAGTGATGGTTTTCTGCACAACTGTCAGGTCAGCAGTCTTTCCCATATGATTGTGATTCCTACTGAACCAAACTGAGAGACCATTTAAAGCCTCAGGAACCCTTTGCAGGTGTTATGGCTTAATTAGCTGATTAGCTAGAATATTGAACCTTTTCACAATATTCTAATTTTCTGAGATTGTGGATTTGGGGTTTTCATGAGCTGTAAGCCATAATCATCTCAATTATGACAAATCACGGCTTGAACAATCTTGCTTTGCATGTAATGAGTCTATCTCATATATTAGGTTCACCTTTTAAGTTGCATTACTGAAATAAATGAACTTTTGCACGATATTCTAATTTTTCGAGTTTCACCTGTATGTGCCCAACTAGAGAGCAACTTATATTTTTTAAAGATTGGTTAGATTTATGGAAGATACGTTCATACTGGTGATATATCATCCTACAAGTAATTTACTATCAGCAAATATGATTGGGAGATGACTGCCATGTTTATATCCTGTTTGAGAATATATTATTGGTTCCTAGATGAGTAGTGTAGCTAAAACTGTAGTAGGTGGACTTTTACTTTGATCCTGCAGTTTCCTTTTGGCATTTAAATTTCCATCCACATTTAGGTTAATAAAATGTTTTATAACAGAGATCTCAAACATGGTATATTTGCTCTAATAGTAGCACTATATGATGATTAGAGCTATGTGTTTCTCAGGAACACTATGCTATCAAGCTGCAAATACAATTTTATTAAAGTATAAAAATTACACGGGAAATAGTTAAAACAGCTTCAACTATTCTTTATCAATCATCACCCAGAATAGCTGAGAATCGACAATTTTGCTAGGTTGAAAATGGTTCTTCCAAGTTATACAACTTTGGGTATTGAATACAAAAATACTGCAATAAGTATCCACATGGCTTTGAGAATGTGTCCAAGTCAGTCTTGACTCCTGGTAAAGTATTCTTGATGTTTTTGGAAGTGGTTTGCCATTGTCTTCTTGCTTTATGTTATCTAGCCAAAGCAGCACATACTGGATAGTTTTTTTGCCTCACTTAAAAAGTTTCCCATCACTACCTGAGTTTCATTTCATTTTTAGAGTTCTATAGAGTTATTCCAGTTTAATTGTCCACACATCAAACAGGATTAATTTTATCTAGTTTCCATATTAGGTTGACAAGTTCACTGTATTTTTATAATTCAGCTACTGTATGATTTCCTTATGCGTAAAGTGACTTCATACAGTCTGCTTTTCTAAAATAATTGAATGTGAATCAGCAGCTTTTCCATGTTGCAACTTTTGTTCAAAATGGGGATTATGAAATTGGCACCATGCTGCAAGATGTTCTAGCATCTCAGAGATTATGTGACAAAATTGCATTGTACTGGGTTATAATAGCGCTTCCCTAAATGCACTAAGTTTAGTGTTAACAGTATTGACTATCAGGCTGTTCAATATATTTTTATCAGTATTATATTAGAAAAATGAATGCCAACTTAAATGGTTTGTTTATTCAATCATAGACTATTTCTGGTAGTTGATATTACTTATTTCCTCCCCTTATTCCCAACCTAGATAGTTGACACATGTAAATTTTTGCTCTATCCCAACTCATCCAGATTCTTCCTAAAATTCCTTACTTGAAATGTGTCTCATTGTCTTCAGAGATAGAAGGAAGATTTATTGAATTTGTAACACTTTTTTCTACTAATTTATTGCTTGTCAATTACATAAATATACTCTCAAATGAAGATCAACTCCTGATGACTGCATCTGTTTTCTTAGCAATGTTACTCAGGTGGGTTGGCTATGTCTTCTTTTGGATCCCCCCCCCCCGCCCCCAATTTCTCAGTCTAGGTAACATTAAAGTTCTCATGCTTCCCAACCATCC